ACTTTCTATCAAAATCTATTCAAGTATGATGTCACACATGGTTTTTAGTTAAATTCATTGACTATGAATGGCTTGTTGAATACTACATTCCAGTCAAACTTGAAGAAACGTCTGATGAGTCAGCGTAACTAAAAATACTCATGTGAGTGTGCAGAGGCTTCTGAAACACATCTGCTTTCATCTAATCTTGCCGTACTCTACACTCCCGAAATAGATTTACAGTCTGTAAAACGTAGAGCTGATACTTTTCAGTCGCTCATTAATGTCACAGCAAAAGGCGACGTGAACTGCAAACATGGAAACCACTTTCCTTCGGTCTCACAGACATGAGAAAAGATAAACAAGAAGCAGACTTGGAGTATATTACAACAGCAGAATTGTCTTGCTCCTTTGTTCTGAGTTTGTGCTTAATGACTAATTTATCTGTACTTTGCTATATAATATGCACCTCTATCTATCTATATATATCCTGTATATATTGCAGCCTTTGGTTATTGTGAAAGCCCCATCACTTGGCGCTCTCTCTCTCTGTTGTCACATGTGTCCGTTTGAGCATGTCCCCAGTCGACCCCTCCACCACCGACTAACTGATGTAGCTATAACCTAATTTTAGTTTATGAGGTGTGGGACCGCTGGGTGTTACCCTAGCTGCAATTTTAGGCGAGGTCCTCGCGGGGCTCCGATCTGTCGTAATTATCTCATTTTCAGGGGTTGGACAGGGGGCTCGGACCTCGGTGACTTCTTCCAGCTTCCCTCGGCTCCTCACGTGCGCACTCGCACATCGGGGCGCTCAGAGGCCCCGGCGCGCAGGCTAGCCTGGCACGGGCTCAGTCGCTGCACTGCCATTGGACGGATTTGATCCCACTGAGTAAAATGTTACCTAACGCATACTGTGCAGCGTGGTGAGATCTAGGCTAACGGCAGACAGGACAGCACAACCCAATTAGTTTGAATTAGAGACGGGAATTATCTCTCAGCATCAGTATTGTAAAATTTTGTCAGAGAAGCAAGGAAGCAAATCGAAAAAAAAAACAACAAAAGACATTTGAGTGAGTTAAACGCTTACATTTGACTTACTCTAAGTAAACTGATTATGTAGCTAGGTATTTCATTAATGCTTATATTACTGTATTTACTGTAGTTTCGTTGTTTTATCACAATAAAAACGTTTTGGTATATTTTCGTTGCATTTGTCTTTGGTTCTTATGACTCAAACTTTCTTGCGTTTTGTCTGTTTTTGTTTCCACAGCACTGCACAGCTGTTTAAGCTCCATCAGTCGTGTCGTTTAGTTTTGGTTTTGTTACTGTGTGGATGGAAAACAAGCAGTGTTGGGCTCTATGGGATTGTTTATAGTCCACCAGGGGAAAAAATAACAAATTGTGATAAGAATTATTCCAACAATTTGTGATAATTGTTGTGTTGTGTGGTCCTGTGAAATTGCCAGGACCAGATGTAAAATGGTAGTTTTACATCTGATGGTTTTCGCAGAATTTAAAATGGGGACGGGGTATACTGATAAACATTTAGAAGATAAATATACAAGATTGCAGCCAGAGGCTACAAGTTTTCTTTTGTTCTTATAAAACATGGACTGCAGGAAAAAAATAAAACGTTCCACAGCTGATGGATATGACAACCAAACTCATAATTGCATTTTTCAATTAATAATACTTATTTGAAGTTTGCTTAGTCAGTGATATTCAACAGCTTGCAGCCTATTTATACTAGCTTTCTGTCTGTATTTGGGATCAGCGACATTTTGTCCACAGTCTTTTCATTCCCTTCATGCGGCGGTTGTTTGTTGTGGCCTTAATGTTCAGTCTCACTCGTTGGTAATCAGTGGGCGTATTAAACTTGGATTCCGGCTCACTGGAGGATTGAACATTTCCAGTGCAAATCGAATTTAATTTTTTAATGTTTGGAGCCATTATGTAGGAGTGAGATCAGCTCTTACTACCAGCTGTTCAGCCTTTCAGATTTGTTCTGTGTTTTCATCATGATGATGCTCAGACGTTTCAGCATTCTCAGTTCTGCTGGTGGTGTAGGCTGTAGCCCACCCAGCAGCTATTTTCTCTGACTTTTGTTGTTGCTGTCTGATCAGTGCTTACAAATCAAAACCAGATGACCCCTACTACCTTTAATACTTCAACCACAGCCTCTCCAGTCACAAACAGCTGTTTTCCCTCTATTCATTTTCCAACAGATAGATTTTTATCTCTCCATAATCCCATAAATTCAGAAAAATAAGTTTCGGAGGGGTCATTAGGAACTTTGTCTTCTACTTAAAAAAGCAATGTTTGTTTTTGCCGTCATCTTAGCTAAGGTAAAGAATGAAATAGATTGATAGTCAGCTGCTACAGACAGCTTGCTCTCTGTCAACTGGCTAGAAACATGGTTACAAAAGGAGTTGTCAGCTGGAGCTGTTGAGCAGATCATGTAACCACTTAAACAAGGTGAGGCAAACTGGAGGGCAGCAAAAACACATCAGTTGTCTCTCATCAGGTTTGTTTAAAATTTCATACGAAATCAAGCAAACATAAAGAGAAGGCCCGGACAATCCGAGAAAGACTTCAGAGGGTTTGACAGTTTTTGGATGTCAGAAAGTAAAACACCATAAAAATGTGAAATCCACAGTGAAAGGAAGGAAAATGTTTTTCAAAAGAATAGGAGAGAGCAGATTACAGAGTTATAATTTGTTCAGTCATCTTGTTTATCTCCTGTCTTTTTCTGCCTCTCTACCCCTCTCTCTGGGGTCAAATCATTAATATGATTTTGCCTAACCCTGTGTTTGGTGCAAGACACATTTGAGGACGGCCTCTTCTGGATAACTCCTAGGCTAATTTCCAAAGTGCCTGGCCATCAGGGTTTGTAATGTCAAAGACCCAGAGAGTTGGCTGTTTATAACTTTCAGAGTATATGCACAGGCAAAAATGAAACATTGACTCAGGGATTATAATTGTTTTTCCAGATGAGGAGGTCTTTCATCACAGACCATTAAAATAATCCATAATAAAGGCATGATAACTTAATGACTTGGTGAGAAAACAGTCCATGAAAAGGATCTATCTTGGATATTCTGTCTCTGAAAATCGTCTTTTCAGGAGTTAGCCGTAAGTTGTGCTGTGATTAAAAAAATAACACGAGATGCAATAAAGTGCTCTGTTGTCTTACAAAAGTTATCACATTTTTTGGTCATTCATTCTGTACAATGAGTAAACAACTGAATAAACATTTTCTTAAACTGAGCACTTTATTTTCAGAAGCTGTATCTCTCATCTCTGATGTTTTGCCTTTTCTGATGTCTTTCTTGAACTACGTTTCACTCATCCCATTAATTTCTCAAAAATAAAGTGATGTTGCACTAATATGCATTTCTATAAGTCCAAAAGATCCACTCTCAACCAAGTGGACACATATTACACTTCTAGAACAAATAGTGAAGGCATAATGTTAAATTATAGAAATTATTCTGTATGACTGTTCAATGATGTATTGCAGTAGTGCAGTATCTGTTCTGGTAAATAATACCGGTGTACAGTTGATCAAAATATAACCGCACCTCACAGTATTCCCATAATAATTTAATATTAGCTGAGCTCTCAAACTATACATAGCATGTCACGTCCTCATGTGAGCGGCTCCCTCACAGTTTTGCCTGACACATTTAAGGCTTATGTAAGACAAAGCCACATTTGGCTGGTGTCATCCACAATATCACAATATCCTGTGAATTAGTGCACGAGTTGTGGTCTTTTGAATCACAACTGATTCAAAAGAATCAGTTGTTTGAAAAAGGGCATGTTGTGTATTCAGGGTCACTGTGTCTTTTCACAGTGACCCAGGTCATTTGAGTTTCCTGTTATAAATGGGTATTAAAAACAGGAAAGAAATGGCGATTTGTTTTCTTTTGTTGTTTTAAAATGCAAACATTTAAAGTAAGTTTTAAAAAAAGCTATAAACCATGATGTTCAAATCCCATCCAGGGGTTAGCGCAAGATGTGGAGAGTTGTGTCCTCAACCTGCTTCTGTCATTACCAAACAAAGGATCTTTGTACCTGATGGAACTGAAAAAAGGCTTTCTAATTGCTCTATTTTGACCTGATGAATTGCTGTAGGAATCATGGGTGCTGTTCTTGCGTTCAATATGCATGGATTCATATAAGCCCCCTCTCAGACTAACTGCATAAGTAAACCCAGTTGGTTCGTTCACATGGGAACAATATGGATGTAATAAGCAATCCTTGATGTTATCAATTCTCAGCTACTTTATAGCTTTTGTAGGCCTTGTACTAACAGTCGGGGCATAACGTTGCTGCTGTTGAGCGTGGTGCAGCTCGACTCCTGTTTGGATGTTAATAAACCAACCTTAAGCAAACAATTGACATTATAAAGCCGTTTCTCCTGAGCAGATGTCTGTGTGGTCATGTTGGTCAGGAGTCCGCCCATCCTTAAAGTCTTAAATTTGTTGATCTAAAATTAATGTCTTAATATGTCTTACATTTATTTATTTATTAATTTAAGTTTGCATCAGATACGTTTATCTTGGGTATTAAATTTTGTCTTGACAGGACTATGTAATCATATGTCTTTTTTTTTTTTTCTTGCGGGACTTCAAACGTTTGAGTCGCACTCAGACATTGCGTTGACTCTGCCTGGTTGATGCTACTGATGGCTCACTGCTAACATCCCCTTGCTAATTAGCGAGAAAGCTTTTTTGTGTCTGTCATGGGTAACTGCAGAAGTATCGGCAGTTTGCTGTAGATAGTTTGTACTTTTCTGTGGAAACATGAGGCTTAAATTGGTCTTTAAAAGTCTTACATTTGAGTTGGTGACACCTGCAGATACACTGCTTTTATTGCAATTCGAAGTCTTTAAAGATGTTTGTTTTCTTTTTACTGTCCTTCAGCAATAATTGAGGTTCACCTTAGACAGATTGTGTGAACTACCAGTTGTCATGTATATTTAGACTAACCTTTTCTTTTTCTTTTCTGTGTCTCAGGATTGTGAGCAGCCATGACAAAGTCCTATGAGTTCAACTGGCAGAAGCACCTGCCTGAGTTCATGCAAGAAGGTGCCTCCTTCGACAGGTTTGATGAGGTAAACTGTGCGTTTGTCATCTGCAAATAATTATCGCCGGATGAAAACATGCCCTGAGTTTAATTATAACAGCGGACTTTGAAAAAATATCTTGTTTTGGCCCCTATTTCCTCTGATGAACTTAATGAGGGCAGTTAGGTAGGACATTTGACAGGCAAAGGGAAAGTGTGTCACCCACCCCGGCGAAAGACATGCATGTCGCCCTGCATGCTCCAGGAAATCCCCTCAGTCCTCTCCATCCATGCAGCTGTCAGAGAAGGGAGGAGGATCCCTCTCAGAGCACAGTGGAAAACATGAAAGCGTGCATAGAGAGCCATGATCATATCCACGGTCACGTCAAAGAGAGCGATTAAAACTGGGACGCCGTACTTTTGATGAGTGTCCTCAGTGTGTTGCTGATGTGAAATTTGAGCCAAGTAGAGGCAGAGCATGATGGAATCGGCCTGAATGTTAATAAGGTCAGCTTTTCATCTCACCTCTGCTTTTTTTTTTTTTTTTTTTTTCCTTAAGGACTCATTATATTCTAAAATGGAATAATTTATATCTGAAAAAACAAAACTGATGAAAGTTGAACTTTGTAAAGATTGCAGGGTACATTCTAGGTCGACTGAAACAACATAAACATGTCACTTATGAGGGTACAGAACCGCGCCAAACAACAAAGATTATTTTTTTTTGTTTCCACACAAAAACATTCCCCACTGACTGAAACCCCACTGAGCAACAGATGGTGGAGGCAGGTAATACGCACATGTTCTAAGTGGCCTGTTGAATTTTAATCAAACTTTCACTCCAGTTAGAATATGGTTTCAATACTTTAACAGAGGTTCTGCTTCCCTGTTTTGACATTTAAGTATTCTGAAGTACAATGGAAAGGTTTAAATAGGTTATAGATCTGCAGTAATTACAATGTGTTTGTCTATGAGAGACATTTCAAATATATTTTCCCTCTCTGACAGCCCACAGCCATGGAAGTGAAAGGTTAAAGAGACAGAGCACAATTCATCATGCTAAGAGCCAAAGCGGTTCTTCCTCTGTGTATTTCTTTCATTATCTCGCTGATAGGAAATCGATCGCTGAAGATATGGCTGGTGTTTAGTTTCTATGGGACCAGGGAGCCTCATATTGACAGCTGCTGAAAGCAGAGAGCAACAGAACAACAGAACAGAACAGCGAGACGCTGAAAACACATAAGCATGGGTTTCTGGTGAATGCTTAGTCCTGTCAGAGGTTTGCTGGAGAACATTAGTGAACAAACGGCATCATAGAGTCCACGAAACACAGCAGGAAGAATAGGGTCTGGATACAAGTGCATGCCACACTTTCTAGATTTCCATTTTAAATGTAGTTTTGTGCATACATACACACACACACACAATGATGTGGCCTCTTGGACAGGAAAGACAGAATCCATCCATTCAGAGATGAAAGTCAAACCCTTGAATATTTGATTTCTTTGTCATTATAAGATCTGGTTTTCCGGTCTTACTGCCTTGGCGCACCGTTTTGCCATTTTCCTCAAAGAACTGGCTACTTTGTAAAATTAAGTCCCTGTCGGCCTTAATTCAGATGAAAGTGAATTGAAAGCTTTTAGCTGAGCTCTCAGAGGCCTCGCCGCTTCCTGGATGGAAGATTGAATGTTTTCTGCATTTTCTGGTGGTTTCAGATGACGCGCGTCGGCCAAACAGGCCAGCGTCGTCCCATTTGTGGCCATGTATCTAATGACGGCAGGCGTCCTAAAATAATGCACCACATGTAGATGTGCGTGTGCACTTGTGTGTGGCATTGTTCCCCATTGCTAATATTAGAAGAAGAGTGACCTCTCAGCATCAGCCCCCTTCTGTTTCTCCTTCCCCCTTTTAATCGTTTTGGCTATCTCAGATCAGAGATCAGAAGAAGGAAATACAAATGTTCATATGCTCTGCCTTTGATATTCAGTATTGAAGTTATTCATATTTAGGTATACTCCTATTTATATTTCCTTTATGTGAAGTGGAGCACTGATCCTATATACCAAATGTTTACATTTGTACGTCTCTCTTACTGCACTGATCATTTTTATCTAGATTAAACTATCTATTTGTACAAATTGAATGCTTTTGTGCATTACTTTAGAAGTGTGTGTGGGTGTGTGCGTGTGCGTGTGCGTGTGTGTGTGTGTAAGGTTCTTGCCTCATACAATGTATTAGGGCTTCATCCTCTTGCCTGATTGTATAAGCCTTGCAGGTTGTGTAATGTGAGGCTACATCAAATGAAACTCTTTGATCAATGAAGCCTCTAATATGAAAATGCAATTCTCCTTTCAGGACCCATACCTGTTTGAGCCCAACTGTCAGATGAAGGTGGATGAATTTGGCTTCTTTATCACATGGAAGAGTGAAGGAAAGGTACGATCTTCCTCTTATCTGTCTTTCAGCTATCTTTTACGACAAAGGTATGATTTATATTTGACAGAAATAAGCAAAATCCACAGTAAAGCCTTACTTTTACTGCAATTTCTGTCTTAATGTTATACAGTCCTATATGTTGACAAACAAGCAATTTTCCTGGCCTACGACTCTACACTATTGTGAATAATGTTTTAAAAAAACAATCCATATTTGACTAATTCTAATCTTAAAAGGTTTTTCTTTGAGTTTAGAAAAAAATCTATTTAAATTGCCAGTTGGATTCCTGTCAAAAATATTGTAATACCTGTAAAGTTGAGTTGTCACTGACATTGCTATTGATACGGTACAGCAAGACGATGCTAAGCTTAGCTAAATGGGTAACTGCTTACATTTGAAGCTCAAATATCAAAATGCAGCTGTTTACTTTTTTTTCTTAATCCTCCTATGATGTCTGCGTCCCACAGGAGGGCCAGGTTCTCGAGTGTTGTCTGATCAACAGTATCCGTGTCGGTGCCGTCCCTAAGGTGAGACTTTTTGGAAAGACAATCTTCTCACTTCTGCTTTCACTGAAACTTGCACTCTCATCCCACAACGCAGGATTGTTTTCTCACTGCGAATCTCCTGTTTAAATCAACAAATGTGGGGAGGCCGATTTTTAAGCGGCATAATTCATGTCTAAAATTAGCCAATGCTTCAGTGGCACATTTCAGCATTGCCTGATAATCCCGACCGACTTCTCACTGATTACTTATACATAAACATTAAATATTTAACACCTCAATATTGATACAACCCTGGACAAGTTTAGCCACTGGCTGTATTTGAATCATGTTTTATTGTGTTTGTTTGACCCTCAGAGGAAAAACGGATAATGGTGCCTTTGTAATAACACGCTGCCAGAGAACCTTTGGGTTAAGGAGATCAACATCTCACAGGCATAAGACGTTGCGTTTCTATCAGGACGGAAAAAAAGGAAAAACATCCTCGTCCTATAATAAGGAGGTGATTCTGAAGAGATATTCTGACCAGGAGTCAGCTTGCTTCTTCACTGCATCTGGCAACCAATCAGCACACCAGACACACACAAATATAAACCTCTGGGGTCCCTCTGTATATTAAATATTGATTCATTTGCTGCACCATTGACGCCAACTCACTATAATGTAATATTTGACCCTATTCCAACTGTATGAATTATGGAGGCTGTTATTAGATGCTTCTGAACTTAGGAGTAAGGGTCCTGCTTCATATCAAGATCTGAATACAAACTCATCAAGCAGCTGAAAGTTTGCAAAAGACTGCGTAGAGAAGCGCTGCAAACGTAGCCGATTGGGCGCAGACGTTTTGATGTTAACCTGTGTGTTTGGTCTGCGGTCACTGTGCGTGTGCGTGGACACGTACACAGATGCTGCAGCTCGATAGCAGCGCCTTGTGTTTGTTCAAACGCTGCACAGTGTTTTGTAAGTGGCAGGAAGGCGATCGCAGGCCTTCTCCACAAAGGACGGCACAGCTGTTCCAAATAATCCAATGAGGAAGAGGAGATGGATGAGATAGCCGGCTGGGATTTTAAAGCTGCAATGCCTGTTGCTGTTAATTCGATCATACAACAACTACACTTAAGTTTCTCCTGCGGTGACAAAGCTGATGTCTGATTAAAACCATGAGAGGGGGACATCTGATGCTGTGATTTTCTTTTTACACTCCACTGGAAGGATAATCATTCCCAGGGTGTCTGTGTATTTACAGTCATCATTTGACAGTTTAATTACTTTTTTTTTTTTTTACTTGGATGGAGTTGAGGGTTTCCAACAGGACAATGACTGCAATACATCAAAACTGTCTTTTGGAACGCATAATTCAGACTAATAAGATTCTGAACTGGTCCAAAATTCAATCTTGTTGAAAATGAATAGTTCATAAAATCCAGATTTGTACCAGGAAACAACCAGTTTATATTAATTCTACTGATTCTGCTAAAAGTTGGGGTTGGATGTCCGACCAGATTTATGGCAGAGACTTGATGTTTGCTACAAAAAATATACCTTTCAAAACTTAATATTTCGATAGACATTAATGGGGTGCATGTATATACTGGAGGTTGGGTGCAGAACTTTTGCCTTAGAGGAAAATATACATAAAATTCAACCTGGTGTAGCAACTTTTAATGTTTTGAAATGTGATGTTATCATCAATAACGCAATAAATACGGTTCTAAGTCATTATTAAAGGGCCACAATTAATGACATTCATTCCGATAAGTACATGTAAACTTAATAGCTGCATTATAACTTTGTCATAAAGTTAGGAGGCAGTTGAAAGAAAGTAAATCATAATAATGACGTCAAAAATGTTGTAGACTGCCTTTATGCATTTTGTAATGTATTATTTAGAATGTGTAAATAAGATAAAGGTAATTTTATTTATGTAGCACATTTTCAGCAATAAGGCAATACAAAGTGCATTACAGAAATTAAAAAGAAATACAAACCAAATAACAAACCAAAGGAAAGAGCACACGATAGGCACATTAAATTACTTTTTAAGAATATGTCTGCCCCGTTTTGTAACGTTTTTAACTTTGCTCACCTTCGATGGCGTGTTCAGCATTCAGTTTGTTGATCTTTCCTTATTTTCCCAGGACCCAAAGATCCTGTCCTCATTCGAGGCCATAGGAAAGACGGAGGCCGACCTGGAGGGATGCATCATCTGCATCTGCAGTGGCACTGACCTGGTCAACCTGAGCTTCATGTTCATGGTGGCAGAGAGCCCCGACACAGCCAGGGTAAATGCTCTCACTTATTTTGTATTACACAAATGGTGCCGATACAGGAGTGAACAGGAAACACTACAATCCTGTTTCGGTCAATTAGAAAATATAGTTGGATAGCATAGCACTTTGATTAATAATTCACAAAGCCAGAAGTCTCTAAGTGTCACAAAGCATGTTGCAAAGAAGAAAAAAAACATCCTAAAGGCTTTTCGGCAGTTGGAGTGTAGCCAAAATTAATTCAGTAATCTACTGTACATAAAGGCCAAAGCAGCACCCACACAGAGTAACTATTTCATTAAGAATGAAAGGAAAGAGAATGCAGGATGATGTATATTCTCCCTCCCACACACGGCCTTGAGTCATTGTGATAAATAGACGCATTTGACTGAATCGTTTTTTTCTGTCGCTTCTCTTCTGTATTTTATTCAGACAAAATACAGAAGAGCTTGTCTGGAGGGGCAACTTCCACCAAACTATCTGTTGATAGTTTTCACTTTTTGTTACTGCCATGTTTTAGATTTTAGACGAGCTTCAACTGCCACCCAAGTATTTTGTGATTTTCAGTTGCCACACTTTTTTTTTTTTCCCTTTTTTACTACTCCAATTACAATAATTATTTATGTGTATATAGATATGTAGGTACCTCCATATAATCTTTTTTAAAAGTCTGGCATGCCAAATCCAATTGGATTGGTTCTCATTTTTTATTCTCTGGACTGCAGCACAGACAAGAGAGCAATGTGCTTCCTGAACAGAGAAAGTGATTTTGGATCATGAAACATCAAAGTATAAGTCCTAAATAGTCATCTGATTTTTTTTACTCAACTCAGGATTACATGCTGTTATTTTCAACCTGTGAAAAGTAGCTAATGAAGAGAAAATTGTCTGATTTTAATTTCAACTAATTAGTACATTTCTAAGATGTTTTGCCTATGTTGTGTAAATTTTTCTTGACAGTTTATTATGGCCTTTAGTGAGTCATTGTCTGTAGGGGGCAGCAGTGTGCTCATGTGTAATTTTTAATACTCACGCTTGGCTGTTTTCAGAAATGGATTGAGGGTTTGAGGTCGGTGATCCACAATTTTAAGGCCAACAATGTGTGTCCAATGACATGCCTCAAGAAACAGTGAGTGTATTTATACAAACTTTTCACACTGGAGTGTTTATAGAGAAATTGATCCACCTGCAAAGTCCACCCAGGACCCCTTTTTGAACTTTTCTTTGATTGGTTTTGTTTCTGTGTGCTTTCAAATTTACTTATTTAGTTGGATGAGGATGTGTTTCTTGACCAATGTCAACGGGAAGATCCCTGTTAGAGGGTAAGAATCATTTATATGCATTTCTGAACATGCTTCACAGTGCCTTGCTTCAGTATTTTCATTAAACTTATAGCTATTTTTACCTTTTGTATCACTGCAACCCTAATGTTTATTTTATTGGGAATTTATGTGACAGACCAATATAATAAAGCAAAATTGTAAAGGTGAAGGAAAGTTGCTTCTGTATTTCAAACTGTTTTATTAAAAAAAGTAGATTCTTGCCAATTATTTGTAGAATAACTTAGTCTAAACATCGTATATATTATAGATTATTTGTTCCCTAAAAGGTATTTTAGGGACATACAGGACTGTTGTCTTGCTGGAAGACGAGAACTGTTTCTTTGATTTGCTACTTATAACTTTCTCCTTTCCTTTTTAGTATCACAAGAACCTTTGCATCAGGGAAGACAGAGAAAGGGATCTTTCAGGCTCTGAAGGATCTAGGTCTTCCCAGTGGAAAGGTAAAAGCGAGAGCCAGGTACTTCCATTTGATCGCTTCTCATGCGATGAATCCTAAAGTGTGTGATGTTTCTGTACATGGCTGCAGAATGACGAGATTGAACCCTCGGACTTCACCTTTGACATTTTCTACGCGCTGACACAGAAGATCTGCCCTCGCACAGATATAGAGGAGCTCTTCAAGAAAATGTAAGCTGTCCTGTTTTAAACTCTCCTGCATGCTTGTTTGTGTAGCCGACATGTTTACCGACTTTTAGCATAATCGGGAAGAGAACGGATCAACAGAAAAATAAAAAAAAATAACACTTTTGTTGTTTCAATAATAAACAACAGTAAAATAAAAGTGAGAACTGTTAGGTGACATTGAGTGTGATTTGGATAAGTGTTTCTGCTCCTGCTACACTAACTACGCCTGGACAGCCTAACCTGCTTTCAGTTAGCGCTGAATTAGGATCAACTGAGTGGCAACAATCGAACATAAAGAGATATGTTTAACAAATTTGGACTAAAAGTGTAACACAAAACACTTTCTAATTTTAACTGAATGTTTGGATGACTGTGTGGATGTCCGTTTTAAGAGTTATAACAATCTTTTTTCTCTTCCAATAATTCCTTTGCAGCAATGGGAACAAAACAGATTATTTAACTGTAGACCAGTTAGTCAGCTTTCTGAATGAAGTAAGCTCTTTATCATTCATTAACTTCTTTGTGTATTTGGCTTCAGCCAGCCCCTCTCTGCTGCCCTCCCGCCCCGCCTCCTCTTCCCTTCCTGCTGTGGATAAAAGTTGCCCTCCAATACGACGGCCATCATTAAAACCCAATTAAACAACATTCAGCTTGCCTGGAGGGGCAACTTCCACCAGCTACCAAACTCTGCATGCCCCCTCTCGTACCGTTCCTCCTGCTCTCCCTTAGCGAGGTTTGCCTCCCATTGTCTGATTGGTGTCGTCATGACAACAGGAGGAGAGGTTTCCATCCTGTTGCGTCCGGCTTCGTTCATCTCGCTTCCTGCTGTGTGTCTGTGTTTTGCGGCCGTCCTCCTGTGTGTGGCTGAATACCTGCTTGTTGCATCTGCTGTCCGGTCATGTCTGTGCTGCTCCATGCTCTGGACTCAGCTGGATTCATTCCCACTTTCCCGACGTGAATGTGCTCTGTCACTGTAACGTCTTGTTACAGCTGCTTTCAACCCTTCCAGCACATGTGACTGCCTTATTATGAATCATTTTTAACTCTGCACTTATTTTTGTAGCGATTGGTTTTGCCCTACAATCTAAATGCCATCCTGTTGAAGACATGCTAGTGTTAGAAATATCTGAAATCAAAGTCAGAAGTTCTCCAAGCATTTGCACAAAATTAATTCTTGATATGAATTGAATTCTAAATTCTACTGAAAGTGTTGACATGCATGGTAGTTTCAAGTTTTTAAAGAAGCGTTTCTGTTGGGAGGATCTGGACGTAACGTACATGTGATGTGCACCTGTGCTCGTGTCTTGCTCTGCAGAACCAACGTGACCCGAGGTTAAACGAGATTCTGTTTCCATTTTACGACCCAAAAAGAGCCATGCAGATCATCGAGAAATATGAAAGGGACGAAGAGCTGAAGAAAAAAGGTAAAAGCAATGTATGAATGAAATCTGGAGACAGACTTTTCTTTGCGTTTGCTGCCATCTGCCTGTGTAATCTTGAAGCTACAGAAACAGGTATTTATTGAATTTAAACCTGGCTAATTTATTATAATCACAAGGTCATCTTCATCTTCCTCCTCATAGGTCGCATGTCGAGTGACGGGTTCTGTCGGTACCTAATGTCAGACGAAAATGCTCCGGTGTTCCTGGACAGACTAGAGCTGTACCAAGACATGGATCAGCCTTTGGCTCATTATTTTATCAGCTCCTCCCATAATACATACCTGACAGGAAGACAGTTTGGAGGGAAGTCATCTGTGGAGATGTATCGCCAGGTCCTGCTGTCTGGATGCAGGTATTATATAGTGACACAGTCTAAGCATAATGAATGACATGTTTATCTGCCTATAAAATTTAATAATAAGCATTTTCTGATTCAGATTCTGAGTCTGATGCATTAAAATCAATGCCATTTATTGATTTTACATTAGCTTTAAAAAAATTAAGAGCCCACTACACTGAACCCCATTAAAATCCCCATGGTTATTCCACCAAATATTAATTTCTGAACTATTCCTGAGTTACAACATTAATATTGTTTCTAAATTAATATGAAGTTGTTTTCTTTGCATTCTTTGAAGTCTGAAAGTACTGCATCTTTGTTATTTTGATCATTTTAAGTGGTCTCTTAATTTCTTCCAGAGCTGAACTTTAAAGTAGTTTAAAACACACCACTGAATCTGGGGAGCAGTTTGCTGAAGTGCTAGGCTATTGCTAGTATGTTTACTCTGTTACAGTATGATTTGATACTTTGACTTAGGACATATTTTATACAACTCCAGTCATTCATAAGCAAAACTTTCAGAATTAGTTATTTTTCTTGATAAACTGCATTGATGTAAAATAAGCTAAAATCTGGTTATGTAAATACATAATGTCCTGTTTTCTTTACTAATCAGATGTGTGGAGCTGGACTGCTGGGATGGCAAAGGGGAGGATCAGGAACCCATCATTACTCACGGCAAGGCCATGTGCACAGACATCCTGTTCAAGGTAAATCCCCACCGCAGCCGAGAACCTGCTAATATATTCAAGAGTCAGTTCTGTTCATAGATGGGTTCCTCCGCTTTCTATATCCAAGATGGAGGAAAAAACAGAAGCTGTCACATCCTGCCTTAACAAATTCTGGCATTTTAAGCTAAGAATTTACTGAATAGGTTTGTGCATTTGTGTTCTGCCCATTAATTGGGGCCACCACATCTTGCCATGTGGGCTACTCGTACTTCTGTTGGCATTTCAAGCAATCATGGCGACGTAATGAGCGAAAAACGAGCCAAATTCAAATCAAAACAAATTCTGACTGACGCCGTTTTGTGTCGGATTCAAAACAGAGAGAGAATTTTGATGACAGTTTAGAGAGGATTTAGCACCACAGCAACAAAACACACAGGAGGGGAGGGTAGTACAGAACTACAGAGATGGCGGAAACGCCACGTTGGCTAATCTACCCTTCAAGTATATATGTTTTACAATGTTTTACCACTAATGCCAAAAAAATTTTTTTTTTCACTTTTCTTCAAAATTTTCCTACTGCACAATTCTTAAGTAGGAGTAGTGTAAGATCATTAGAATTTCAAAAGAGCAGAAAAAATCCTATGCTTGTTGAGCAATAGTACTTGTTGTTAATCTGTTGCCAAGAGATTAGCTTTTTGTTCTGGTAAGGAACTGCCATGAAGTGTAAATCAGATTTTTACTTTAGTGTTGAATAGCTGTTCTCTAATATATTCACCACCCGTTACAAAATAAATAAGTGGTCTCTTAATTTCTCTTTTCTTTCACCAACTGCACAATTCTAGATAAGTAGTGTACGATAAGTAGTATTTCAAAGGAGCAGAAGAAATGTTATGTTTTTTTGAACAATAACAATGTTTGTCCTTAATCTGTTGCTAAGAGATGAGCATGTTTTGTGGTAACCAAGTGCCACAAAGTAAACACCTCATTTTTACGGCAGTGTAGCAACATTACCGCAATCATTTTCCTAGACTTTTTCCTAAAAAAAAAAACTTTTTAGCCATTTTAAAAAATGTATTATCCACGTTTACCACACTGAAGGGAGCAAGTCAAAGACAATAACATGCTAGTTATATCACATATACCACTGGCAGCATTGAGGCTAACATTAACATTTTGGCTCATTTTAACATACTGAATGGAGTGTGTCCATGGTTTTTCAACATGCTTGTGACCCCACATGCTATTGAGTACTCTGCAGCTTACTTTAGCATTGATGCTAATTTTCAGCATATGTAAGCTGAGTTCCAACCGACGTCCCGTTTAAATTTCTTCAGAAAGTTTTTTTGTTTACTGTATCCTCCAGATGATTTAGGGACCAAACATAGAGATCCACTTTTGTCACACATGCATAACCACTCAACTTTTCCTGCTTTAAGTTAGGATTACCAAACATATTGTGTATGATGAATAAGTCTTTACAAATGTCTAGTTTTGACCGTCATAAACAAATGTATCAAGCCAGCCAAGCTCAGAAAGACTTTCAAATGATGTGCACAAAGCAGAGGAGAGGATTCAGAAGAGAAATATGTGCTGTTTTCTGTCTTGTTGTAGCTGTCTGCCACCTGGTGCTCATACTGTGATACTGCATGCCCTAACTTTGTGTTTTCATCCCCACAGGATGTGATCCAAGCAATCAAGGAGACGGCGTTTGTCACATCTGATTATCCTGTTATTTTATCCTTTGAAAATCATTGCAGGTATATTTTCCATTATTGTTTTTAACATATCTACTGTAATAACATCTCAGTTTATTTGCCGTATTTTATTTTTGCTTATTTCCAGTAAACTACAGCAGTACAAGATGGCCAAATACTGTGAGGAGCTCTTTGGCGACTTCCTTCTCAGGCAGCCTCTGGAGAACTACCCAGTAAAAGTTTCCTCTTTCTCTCACTGAAATTTCTTCCCACTATCTAAAACAAGCAGTCACAGAATTGGGATTGTGTCATGTCTCGCTCTGCCTGTCTTCAGATGGATCCTGGGCATCCTTTACCTTCACCCAATGACCTGAAGAGAAAAATCCTAATAAAGAATAAGCGATTAAAACCTGAAGTGGAGCAGAGTACGTATAAAGTACAGAGGCTTAAATTCATCCTCAAGTGCTTTTAAGTTTGGAGAGTATAAACATTGTGAATGTGTGACACAGGGCAACTTGAAGCTTTAAAGAAGCATATGGAGGCCGGCGAGACCAACACTCCTGCCATCATTATGGGAGAAGAGAATGAGGACGATGCCGAGAATGGTCAGCTAAATACAACTGGAACTGTTTTTGTGTAAATCGATCAATTGGACGGCCTCGTCAATATATTAGATATAACTGATTATCTTGGCCAGCAGTCAGCTTTTAATTATGTAGATGAGTAGTTGTTTCTGTTACATAATGATATAAGTGCAATAATTATTTTGTGCAATGTAACAATACCACATGCAGCAAGTTTGACCCATAGCATCATGGTTCCCCTTCCATGCTTGTTACAGTATTCTAAGGTGTATAGCCTCACAGTTGTGCTTAAAACAATATTTGTCTTGTCTGAGTATAAAATGCATTTAAGTCAGTTTAGCTTGTACGTTTTGTTTTTTACATTTTTGTTTTTTTGAGTTATATAAATTGTATAACTCAATACTATGTATCTTGGTATAGGGGAAAAAGAAGCTGAAGATAAAGATTTGAATTCAGAGGCTCCCAGCATTCTGTCAGAAGTCACCAGTGACAAAGAGTCGAACAGTGTTTCCCAGAGTAACGCCATCAGCTCTGGAAAAGAGGAAGAGCGCAGCAACAGCATCAAAAAGGTCCGTTTGTAGTTGGAGGATCGGACTTGGGCAAAAAAGCTGTTTGTAGTTTGCACTTTTCAGAGAATCCAATTACAGACTTTCAGATCACAGTGAGACCAAAATTAAATCTTCCAAGGAAACGCCGTCTCTTACAAGCAAAAACTAAAACAATTAGCTTAACCATTTGTGATGTTACTCTTCTTAGGATTTTTTAATATACCTGCAACTATCGGACAACATGCTCGCCTCAAGATTTGTGTGCTTTTGACTGATTTAGAAAATAATGGATGCTAAGTTAATCGCATTAAATTAGTTGTAGAATTTATGTTGCAGAATCACCTTTTTGAAATATTGAATTTGTTTTCTGTCAAAGTTTTTGATTGGTTTGAAAAACATTCTTCTCAATTTGATAATGATTTTTTCCAATGTTTCACAGTTAACTTTTGCATTTATCAAACACTTCAAAATCAAATTCAAACTATGGACTGACTGCACAGCAGGTTGGAATGAAATTACCTAAAAATTGGAAGAAGAAATGTTAAATATATTGACTTACTTTGAACACCTACTAAATTACTTTGTGTATACAATTCAAGAACAAATCGCTTAATTTCTGATTCATGTTTGTCAAAATGGAAAGAACAAATGATACACAGATTAAACAGCTTGAAGCTGTTTTTTGGGGGGGAGTTATTTTACAGTTTAATTTCTCAAACTCTTATTTTGAAAACAGGAGTTCACATTTCAGTGCAGAATAGTAGCCAGTAGAGGGAAGGAAATGACATTTATATAAAATTATTCATGAGGTGCAAAAAAAATTATCCATTGACTGCATCTTGAAAATGTAATTAAAACACATCATGTGTTTCCTGCCTCAGTTTTAGTTAAGGTAAACATTACATAAAGTTGCAGCAAAATAATAATAAATATTTTTAATAAAGTCAGATTAGCCATATTTGTAAAAAAATCACAGGGCTCCTCATGACTGGGCCTTTTTTTCCCCCCAGGTACCTGATGATGAGGTCACAGAGATTTCTGAAGCAACAGATGCCACAGATATCTCTGAGGCATCTGATCAAGACAACAACAAGAAGGCAAGAACCAGCCCATGTTTCTTCTTACTTTTGTAGAGCTCTTTGGAAGATGTTTATGTACACCGTAAATAATTTGTAACTATTGCCCTGTTGTGTGCAGGGCGGAGATGTGGCAGAGGACTCTGAGGAGGCTCTAATAGCGCAATATAAATATGAGTCAGCCACCACAAATATCCACCCGTATCTCTCAGCCATGGTCAACTATGCACAGCCGGTGAAGTTCCAGGGTTTTGATGTTGCAGAAGGTGAGGATCATTACAGTTTTTCTCTCTTCTACAGGTTAGTTTTCTGTTTTCTGTACACTGATGTGGAAAGCAGAAAAACAGCCTCAAAGCCCACGACAAAGAGCCTGGTTTTACTATTTCTGGTCCTATTCTGTGTGATTCAGAGAGGAATATCCACCACAACATGTCATCCTTTAACGAGTCAGTGGGCCTGGGTTATCTGAAGACCAACGCCATCGAGTTTGTCAAGTATCCTCTGAGCCACTGAGATTACTGCTCCTTTAGATCTGAAAAACTCAATGGACACACAAGAACACATTCATTCTTTAAACTGCAGAGATCTTATAAATCACTGGTACCTGATGCACTACAGCTGCATATTTTTCTGTGTTTTCTGTTCATCAGAACATGCAGCGTGTCAAGCTTTATGTCTTGCTAAGTTATGTATCCCCCACACACACTTACATGTGCAGAAACACACATGCTCTCCTTTTTTTTTAATCCCTTTTGAAATTTTCCTGAGCATCAGTGCAGCTACAACAAGCGTCAGATGAGCCGTATCTACCCCAAAGGAGGCAGGGTGGACTCCAGTAATTACATGCCTCAGATCTTCTGGAACGCAGGCTGCCAGATGGTTTCCCTCAACTTCCAGACCCCAGGTACCACAGCATGCAACATGGGACTTCTGACCTCTTCCTCTTTTACACACACACACACACACACGTGTATTTAATGTGTTCCCGAAACAGAGAAAAGCACCTCTGATCTTATGGTATCTTATGCACATAATGTGGTTGAAGGAGGATACGCTAATCAGCTGCTAAAGATGATAGAAAGGAATAAGAGGGTGATATGCTCTCAGTTTGAATGAAACTGTTTAATACTTTTTGTTCAGACTTCATATGTAAACTAATGTTTTATTTATTATATGCAGCTGTCAATATTACCACTTTCACATAAATCACATGACTTGATTTTCAGTGCCTTAACCTTTCATTTTGCTGCATTACAACCACAAACTTAGACAATACAGTGAATAACTGAAATGGAAGAAAAATTGCAAGATTTCTGAAAAATTTAAAAGCCCGCTATACTTTGATACCTGAATAAAATCTGGTGCAATAAAAGAGTGGGAAAAAAATAATTTGAAGAAAACCTTAAGAGGTTCTGTTTCACTCCTTGTGGTGGCAATGTCATGCTGTGGGGATGCTTTTCTATACAAGCAACAGAGGACCTGGTCAGTTAATAAACAAAACTAACACATTAGATGACACACAAAAACTTAAAACTGGGGTGGAAATTAATTTTCCATTGGGTCAATGATCCTCTAATTTATGTCTTTAAATGTGCAAAGCTTCACAATAATTGCAGTAAAATAGTCACTCAGGGAGGGCGAGTGCAAATGAATGCTGTAGAGTCCATGGTTCAAAATAAAAACCCAAATGTAATTTTACTTCCACTTCACAATTACATGTTAATTTGTTTCAGTCTACTATAAAAAATCCTCCAGAAATTCTTGAAGTTTGTACTTGCTACATGAGGAAATGTGGAAAAGTTCAAGAGGACTTTGCATCATACTGTCAAGTTTTTATTTTCTTGTTACATGAATCAATTTACAGCACTTACTTTCAGGTTTACATTCCTAGCTAGGAAGAACTATAAGGCAAACAGCGTTTTGTTTGAGTCTCCTGTGCAAATATTAACACAACCAACCTGCTGATACTTTCTATATTTGCCTCGTCTCCACAGTTGCTCCTGTTTGTTTTTCAGCTTTTGAGTGTGCAAGTCTCTAACATTTTTAAATTGTGCACAAACACATATATATTGTGAGCAGCAGCTGCTGCTCTGTATCTGGAAGCAAAAGCAGCTTGACCATATGGTCCGCTGTATGCAGGGCATGTGCAAGAGCTGGAGGCCTTTTACACAGGAAGTGGAGCTCTTGGAAGTAGATTATTTAAGAGCAAAGATGTTAAAGAAATAAATCTCTGCTTTTCAGACAAAAACCTAAAACATTTGCCAGTACTCTAATTTATGTTAAGGTGCTGTTGGGTTTTTACCGTCAGAATTTTACATTTGTTGTGGTTCTAATGTAAGAGCTTGCTATTAAAATCTATTCTTTCTCTCCTTTGCTCTTTCAGACCTGGCCATGCAGCTGAACCAAGGAAAGTTTGAATACAACGGCTGTTGTGGGTGAGAGCAGACCCCCCTCCTCCACCTCACTCCGTCTCTCCAAGGCTCATCAATTACAACTTGTCACATCTCATTACTTATTGCCAGTAGCTACTACTTGCCCCTGAGAGCCAATAAGTGCTTTGGAAAAGGACGCTCCCTTTCACTTGTCTCTGAATTCATTTACATCTTCCTCCTCCCATTGCTGTCTCCATTCCTCTGCTAATACTGTCCCTGAGGGCAGGGATTGTACTGCTAATACTAGGAATGTCATCTGTGAGGAGAGCAGGGCATTTGCAGACGACTATCATTATTAATATTTTCTAATGTGGAGTTTCTAATTATTTTTTTCTCTCTCGTATTGGTAGAAATGTGTGATTTTCAAGATATTAGAATTCAGTGAGTTCATCCATTGGTGATTTTGTTGTTCCTGTGCTCAGGTACCTGCTGAAGCCAGACTTCATGCGTCGGTCAGACAGGACGTTTGACCCGTTCTCTGAGACGCCGGTGGATGGCGTCATTGCAGCAACCTGCAGCGTCCAGGTTAGCCCACCAGAGTACTGGCAGCTGTTATTACAACAGGAACAGCAGCATGTTTCTTATTTTTATCCTCACTAACATTTCTTTGTAAAAATCAGCATTAAGTTGTTTTCCTGCTAAATTTCAGGTCTTCTCAGGACAGTTTCTGTCTGACAAAAAAATTGGCACATACGTTGAAGTTGATATGTACGGCTTGCCTACGGATACAATTCGGAAAGAGTTCCGCACACGCATGGTGATGAACAATGGACTGAATCCAGCCTACAACGAAGAGCCATTTGTTTTCAGAAAGGTATGAAGCAAGACCTGAGAGGGAAGCAATAATAGATGCTGTCATTCTAGAATTGGTCTGCATTGTTGACTTGCAAAAATGTTAACTTTTTATGTCCATTTTTAAATTAAAAATCTAATAGTTTACTATCAATTTACTCTTGATCCGATTTCCCACTACATCCATGAATTCAGCTTTTGCAAACTCTTCATCTCCCACTAGTACATAAAATCCAGCACCTTAAGCATCCAGACTTGTCCAGTTGTGATCTTTTCTCACTGCTAAATGTATCACATCCATCTTTTAGTGGTATTATTACAAATTGAAAGGAGGGAGAGAATGAAGAAAGGATTGGTTTACATATGTATACAACAGTTACGCAATGAAAGAGGGCATAAATACAAATAGTTAATATCCAGACCTTGAAAATCCTCCAGTTCACAGGGCAATCTTCAATGAATTTTTAGCGTATTTTGTGGGGAACCAACACAAAATGGTTGATAATTTTGTAGTAGAAGGAATTGGCAAATAAACTTTCTAAAAGCTTGAGCTGATCCTGATCTGAGTTGTCCTGTTGGACTGTAAATCAACCCCATTATCAAGCCTTTGGCAGACTTCTGTAGTCTTTATTTCTAGTATCCTAAAACAATGCTGGGCAACGTGAGCTGTAGGTTAGTTTGTGTCTGAGCAAAGATGGAAATGAGGATAAAGTGAATGACGTCGAAACATGAAAAGAAAAAAATAATTACAGATAAAGAAGAGAAACAAGAAACTGAAAGACCTGAGACAAAGACCCATGGAGTAATGTGTAGATAATAGTGCTGCTCTCAGCAGAATAGGAAGTCTCTCAGCCATGACTGTGACTCCAGCTTTCTAACACACACCATCCATCAAACCCTGCCGCAGTGCTGCTTTACTCTCTCCTTCTCACACACACATACGCACACACACACACACACACTGCTATCAAAGCAGGGCCATCATACCCGGAGCCGCTGCCGGGTCTCTCATTTACAAATGGCTGCAGATGCTGCTGTACATTCAGTGCTTACATACTGCTGTCAGGATGACTGAGCAAACAGTACACATCAGCAGTACTCATACTGTGTCAATGCAAATGCAAGCATACACACACAGTGCCTCCAATCCTTGATCTCCAGCTTCATCTCCTTTTATCCATTTATCCTCCCATTTATGAGCAGTTCTTTCCCAACACAGAACCAGTTTACACCTAGTTTCTTTTCTAAAGACACTGATCACAACACATGGCCTCATCGGTAGCGAACTGCTCTCCATCTCTTCATGTAATGTCCCCAGTTTCATCCTTAACTCACAACTTTAAATTAAGTTTGGGTGCTTGATTTTATTCACTATTTGCTCTGTGTATTTCTCACACCATTATTTAAATGAACATTTTCCTCCCTCCCAACCTTTCTCCTGACATCCAAACCTCCAGGTAATCTTACCAGATCTCGCGGTGCTGCGCATCGCAGTGTACGACGACAACAACAAGCTGATTGGCCAACGCATCCTGCCTCTGGACGGCCTGCAGGCTGGCTACCGTCACATCTCCCTGAGGAATGAAGGCAACAACCCTCTGTCGTTGCCGACTGTCTTCTGCCAAATCATCCTCAAGACCTACGTGCCCGACGGCTTCGGAGGTGAGGGCAGCAAGATTACACATGCAGCGCATTTATTCACTTGAAGTGTTTTATTTTTGAACAGAGAACTAAAGGTGGCTCTCATTCTGACTTGCAATATTTAACTCCCCTCAGATTATTCATAATAATAATAATAATAAAAAGGCTTATGTAGCCCACAGGGAGAGCAGGGGAGAAATGGAAAGTTTAGCAAGTCTCTTCTCATCCTGTGCCCCGGTGGGGATAGCTTTAACATTTGCAGTAATGGCACGGCACAAATGATGACGACAGTAAATCTGCAGACTGCTTCGTACGGGCACAAGCATACAAATGAGTTGGACAATTGAAGTTGCTATTAAATAAAGCCAAAAGGCTTTGAGTGTGGAGCTATTACTGAGACTATTAGCTTCTCTCCCTATGCAGTACAGCAATGCTCAAAATTGAATCTTCTTCACTTAATATTATTTTGATCTTCTCCCCGTTTATTCACTTGTTTTATCTGAAGCATAGTGAACTTTTACAATTGCATTTTTTTCAATATTTTTGCATGCAGCTATTGTGGATGCTCTATCAGATCCAAAGAAGTTTTTGACCATAGCGGAGAAGAGAGCCGACCAGATGAAGGCCCTGGGGATCGACACGGTACACATAACAAATGGAAATAGAAGCAGCCTTTTCACAATAAAAACACCTTCTTATTTTAACTTTATATGTCCTTCGTCTAACAGAACGACATAGCAGATGTTCCCAACGGAAGCTCAAAGAATGACAAGAAGGGAAAGGGAAAAGGAGACACAGGGAAAGCCAGTGTGACACAACAAGCCAGCTCAGATATGGGCCAGACCTCCAATTCTATCCAAAACAACACAAACGAAAACAAGAAGGGTAAACACTGATTTCTTAGACTTTTTAAAGATGTGCACTCTGTTTTTATTCTAAACACTGAGTTTTTTTTTTGCTGCTGTTTTAGATGCTGCGCTTGTGCCTAATGTGAGCATTGATGACTTAAAGCAAATGAAGGTTTGTATTGTTTCAGTCAACATCTGCTTCACTTTTGAAAGATTTGTGATTAATGTGGATTTCAGGATTTAAGATTAGTTTTAAAAATTCCTAATTAAAGTAAAAAAAAAAAAAAAAACTTTCAGAAGGATTTTTGCCCCTTAACCTTTTTCCACATTTTTCCACATTACCTCAAACTTCGAAGTGTTTTGTAAGACTATTGATTTATGACCCAATCCCACTTTAAGCTTCTCCATAAATTCTCTGCTGTGTCTTTTGTGTTGCTATTTGTTCTTAATAAACCTCAGATGCCTTCACAGAACCATCTGCATTTATACTGAGCTCAAGCTACACAGCTGGTTTCTCAAGGCAATTAGTTGCCTCAGATTTTATGAAGGACTGTTAGAATAAAAGGGGCTAAATACATATTTATGTCTCACATTTTAGCTGAAATAACCTGAACATTTAGTCTACCTAGGTTGAGTTTCCATTGTTTGGCATGAAACCCAGGTTATTATGTAGGAGTACAGAATGTGATTTAAAAAATTGGAATCAAATCCTAATTTTTATCTTTTGACAATTTTTTAGCAGTGAAACACTAAAATGGGAATAAAATCACTTACCTCAAATTAATATTGTGATAAACTCATTAATAATTAAAGCCTACTTGATTGGCCTTGTCATAAAAATACCTAAAGAAGCTGCTGCAGCTTTTCTACTTCAACTTAAAACCATTGAAAGCTAAACCTAGGAGGTTGCAATGGCCTACATTTGTATCTTAAATGACAAAAAAGTATTCAAGCTTCTCTAGTTAAACGTGTATGTGGTAGTCTCCACGGAGAAGATAAAAGTGAAAATACATTTTTAAAAAGTGTTACATGGAAAAACAGCTGCAATATCCCACCAAAAATGCACTGAAGTTTGAGGTTGTAATGTGGGAGAGATTAAGGGGTAGGAATATTTTTGCAAGGCCTTCCATCTGTGTTTCTCTCTGCAGAGCTACCTAAAGCTGATGAAAAAGCAGCAGAAGGAGCTCAACGCTTTAAAGAAGAAACACTCAAAGGTAGGTGGGAGTTTGTTAGTAATGCAAAGTGGCTCCTGCTTATTCCTGATGGCGATTGAAGCTCAGAAAATCAGAAGCAGAACAAGAGAAATGCTGCAATCTTTCATCTTCTGCCTCATCATTTTATGCCTGCTCACATAAACACAGAAAGTCTTTTGTAAACAAACAGAAGACGACCACGTGACGAATGCTCAGGAAGAAATTAGACTTGCTAAAGTTCTGTTTTGACCAGCTATCTCCATGGAGACTCTGGCGGTTGTAAGCTCATTCACGCTACCTCATTAATTATCATGGTATTACTCTTGTTACGCAACATGTGAATATTAACACATAGATACATCTGTTGACCGAAAGATGATAACAGTTAATCTTGCCTGTTTTATTTTGCTTCAATTGTTGCTGTTAAATAAAAGCTATAGTGGTGCAAAAGGCAAACGTCCATCCACCTACGGTTTTACTCTGTGTGCGCAACAGGATCAAAATGCAATGCAGAAAGCCCATTGCACCCAGGTGGATAAGATGGTGTCCCTCCATGAAAAGGAAAAGACTAATCTGGAGAAACTGTTGGAGAAAGCCATCAAGAAACGAGGGTAAGAAAACAACCATGAGACAAGCAAGATCATTATTATGTGAAAACATAGAAGGTAAACAGTGAGTGTGAGTCTGCAGGTTCCAGATGACTTTGATTCTCACTTCTGTGTTGTTTACTGGCAGGGAGAACAACTGCCAAGAGCTGAAGAAGGAGACAGAAGATAAGATCCAGACTCTCACTACGGATCATAAAGCGAAGGTATCAAAAACTAATACGTCTCCTAGAGATGGTCGTACTTGGAGAACAATCAATACTCAACCGTGCTATCTGTCTGTCTGTGTGTGTGTGTGGGCAGGTGAAAGACATCACAGCACAACACACTAAGGAGTGGTCGGAGCTGATCAGTAGTCACAGCAGTGAAGAGCGCGAGGTGAAGGACAGTCATGTTACCCAGCAGTGTGAACACCTCAAGAAGCTCCTTTCTAGTGTCCAGGAGCAGCAGACCCTGCAGCTCAAACTCATTCATGAAAGGTAAGACACACACACGCACACACACTATATTCACTTGCTACAGTCTCAGAATTCAACTAAATGCAGTGAGGAGCAACAAGAGCATTTAGTCTTTTTTTTTTCCTGAAAATGTACAACTCAGGCAAAGCAAAGAGATGCGTGCCAACCAGGCCAAGATGTCCATGGAAAACAGTAAAGCAATCAGCCAAGACAAAAGTATCAAAAACAAGGCAGAGCGAGAGAGGTGGGTCACAATACAAAGCCTTACAAAAGTATTTATCTGTTAGAAAGATAAATAAATCATTCCACTGGAGTAGAAATATTTTTGCAAAGCACTGTGTGATGACTTGTTTTTCTTATGAGGTGAATGCTTTTGTCACTCAGGAGAGTGCGGGAGTTAAACAGCAGCAACACCAAGAAGTTTTTGGATGAGAGGAAGAGGGTATGTTTGCTATGATGTATATTGATATAAACTACTTTCTTAACAACAAACGGTAGTAAAAAAAAAATTATATACATTTAGAGCATCATGGAAAATGTTCATAAGTAACAAGTTAAAGCAGTGCCATCCAGTAAGTCTCTAGATTATTTTGTATTGCAGTCAGGAAATGTTCATGTTCTGATTCGCTTCCAGTTGGCTATGAAACATCAGAAGGAGATGGAGCAGCTGGAGAAAAATCAGAAGGAGCAGTTGGATAAACTGGAGAAGCACAACGAGCAGGTAAGCAGATGATAAAGAACTAAAGTTGAATTTCACCAACTAAATTTAAGTGGAAAACCAAACTCGCTTATAGGATATCAACAGTGTATTTATATTTGCAATTGAACTCCTCTAATAAGTGCTTACTACCGAGTTCTGCTGGTATCACCTTATCTTACCTTTACTTATTGTCAGGAGAAACATTTTGGTTAAGTTAAATGATTACTATAAATCTTGCAGAGGTATAGAGTAAGAGTTTATGTCAATCTAAGACTCTTAATCTAATCAGTTAAAGACTACAAAAATACAAAAAAAACATTGTCATTGTTTTTGGTAGCAGTAATTAAAAACATTAATACTTATCCTAATAATAAATGTTATACAAGATATTGGATTTTTGTCATTTGAATGGGAAATTGTGCTACTGCATTTCAAGATTTAATCCTTTTTACCACGGTTGAGCAAAAACGTGGGGGATGCTGTGTGTGGTCGTGTCCCTTTTTTTCCCACCATTTGTCACAATATCTGTACATGTCTAACATGTATGCTCATTTTTTTATTTTATGATTTGCTTCTTCCGTCACAGCTTTTGAAATCACACCATGCAAACAAACAGGTTCAAGGTAGGCATCATCATCTGTCAGCCCTACCTCTGATACCAGCTTTGTGCTTCATTTCATGGACATGTTTCCCTTTGTGTTGTCTCTCTGTGGTGATATCTGGAGAGCCTTCTCAATATTTGACTGTTTTTATTGATATAGCTTCACCCGAGTATTTGAAATGACTACAAATTAAAACAGAACAAGTGGCACGACTTCAAAGAAAAGAAACTCCTCTATTGTAAAATCCAACCCTGCCTTTTCAGTCTGCGGCTCTTGAAGGCGTCAGGCATGCCAACTAGCAGCTTGACTCATTTATCACCATGACTCACCAGCCATTACGAAGCAGAAAACAAGCCAGCTCACAACCTGATGTGATGCCTTTTCATTCCAGCTCACAATTGTTTACATTCATAGCATGTGACAACATCCATCTGTTGACATTTTGTGACAACTATCACGAGTATGGAAGGATTTGTTTTACTCTGATAATCTGCACAGCGAAAAAAACGTATGCGAGAGCTGTAAACCGCAGCCTGAGATTGTAAACAGGAATTTGTAGGAAAAGATGGATGAATTCCCTGCTAAATGTTTTGAGCTTCCACATTCCGGTCACATCTGCGTCTGAGTCACTGTTTTCTTTCTCCCCAAAGGCCAAGGACATCCAGCAGATGGTGAAGTTGGAGGAGGAGATGGATCGCAGACCTGCCACGGTGGTTTGAGCGACTGACCGAGTCACAGGCCCACACACGTACACTGACACACACACACACACAGAGCGGTGCAGAAACACTTTCCCTGCAGGACATCCTCGACAGTGCAGAGATCATTCTCTCTAAACAGTCTAATGTTAATCTAATCCTGACTCAAACATGTGGAAGCTTTTTTCCTTTGTTCACCCCAGCCACACCTCGTGTCTTCTGCACTTTTTATCCTGCCAATCAACTTTGTACCACTGAGCCATTGCTGCTTGTCACTGTTCCACCGAGGGCGTGGCCACTTCGATCGTCGACAGGAAACGTTACTTTGCGGATCAAGCGACAAAAACAGACACATCCCTTCCTCCTCCACAGTGCGTAGATCTCAGCGAGTCGTTGACTGCAGCGAGTTTTCTACACGGTAAAAGCTTCAGCTGTTGGTAGAATCAAGCACATGCATCATGGTTCACACACAGCAGATATCTATTCCTGTTTTAATTGGCACCCAATAAACTCATAGTTTCTCTGTGTGTAAAGAGGGGAGAGGAGGTGCTCGACTTTGTTACTCCAGCACAAGTGAATAAACTTTGTGAAATACACTGTACACACACCACCAGTCCTGTCCTGAGCACTTTGTATATGATAGGTTGTTCAATGTGGGAAATGTAGCAGTGCACTACTGTATGTTTCTATGTCTTTCAGTAAGAATGTATTAAAACACCAAACTATTAAAAGGTAACTCTTAGAGAGAGGACCCCTTCCTCACCAATATTGATGTCTTGTTGAGTTGGATACCTGTAAAGGGATGACGGGTAATTAATCGCATCAGTTATTTCTAATATTCAGCCAGATTTTTCTGTTGATTTACTATTTGATACAGAAAGTCAAATAGGTGGTGCAATAACTTTCGCACAGACTTCATTTATCAGATTCCAGCTGAATACATCTCTCATATTCAATAAATCTGAATATTATCGAAAAGCTCATTTGTTTTAGGAACTCAATTCACCAAGTTAGATACACTAATGCTTTAAACCTTTGTTACTTATGATGATTTTCCACCTGCAGCTAATCAAAACATGACATTTAAGATTAGAATATCACATTGGACCAATAAAAAAAAGCTGTAATGCAGAATTGTGGGCTTAATGAAAAGACCAATTATAAGACCTGCTTACAAGGTTGCTAATTTTCTAAATCTACTTTCAATCTGTCAAATAAGGTTCACTGTATCACAGATTCTAATTTGAGTATAAATCAATAAATTTATACGGGATCATACGTACTGTGCAAAAGTAAATTCGTCCCCCCAAACAAAAAAAAAACAAAAAAAGATCTTGTGATAGTTTTGTCTGGTAACACATGAATAAGACTGTCATAACACCGTCAAACACGACATAACACCTGTCATGAATATTTGTCATAAAGTGTCATTCAGTAAATAATTACACTTTTAATTCAGTTGACATTATTCAAAATGTCTTTGTTATGACGACTTGACACTAACCAAGAAATCATAATCTGACATAAGTTTGTTAGAAAAGTATTACTGATTAAACTTTAGCTTAAATAACAAAGCTTCATCATTTTTAAAGTTTGATCATGGATACTTTTATAACAAATTCATGTCAATTATAATTTCATGGTTAATGTCAAGTTATCACAACAAAGACATTTTGAATTATGTCAACTTTGATTTAAAAGTGTCATGATTCACCGAATGACACTTTGACAGTCATAAATATTCATGAAGACTCACTCGTGAAGTCATAAACATGTTAAGTCGCGTTTATGACGGTGTCATGACAGTCTTATTCACAAAGTGGTACCTTTTGTCTAAAGGTGACCCAACCAGAGGGTCAAATACAGAAAGAAGTAACCAAAAAGTGGTGTGTTTTTATACTTTTTTTTTTTTTTACATTACCAGAGGCAATAAAAGCTATTTCAAGATAAAGTGGAACTTTGTTTTGCATTACACACTTGTTTTAGTTTGTAGACTTAAAACTCCCTTTAAAATTGAGCCTAATTGCACCAGAATACTGTTTGTGGGTTTATAGATGGCTTTCATCTACAACCCTGACCAACATAAATACAGAAAAGAAATGGCATCCAAATGTTTACCCAAATGATATAAAGACTTCATATAAAATGTTAAAGGGGGACAAAAGCTATAGTTGGGATTTTGGCCTTTTACAGAGAATGTTTTTTTTTTTTTCCCTGTTTTATTCTGCTGTAAAAAATAATGGTAGAAGAGATGTTTATGTATATATTCTGTTGGAATGTACTTAAATGACTTGTCTTTCTGACCAGCGTTTCTTTTAAGAGCTTGGGGACAGACTGTCATGTTGGGGAAAGACATTTATCATTTACCTCTGTTTGTTGTTTTTTTTTTAATCCTTTTGTTTTGTTTCCCTTCACTGCACCACGTCACACAATCTAAAGCTCACCACATATCTAGAACAGAGAAAATAAATGAGTAAAAAGTGCTTTTACAGTTTATTCCATCGCTTTCAGATGTGCCACTCAGTGTCTGCTAGGATGTTTAAATTATTTTATGAATGATAAAATGCCAAATTAAGGGGTTATTTGTATGAAGGTATATATATAAATATATATTATATATATATATATATATTAGATAATGTGTAGTTTAAGATTATTATGTTAGAGGCTTTTTTGCACTAGTTGTTTCTGATGTGTGAAAACTTGCAACCTTGGATTTTGAGTTTGTCCTAAATGGGAAAAAAAAATAAAAAATTTTTTGCAGAGCAACATCCCTGATTTCATTTCCTTAGTTTCTACTGTATCGCTTTGTTTTCTATTTGAATTGTAGCTTGTCAACAGACATTCTGTGTGTGTTTTTGTATTTATATTGTACTGTTGAACTTATAGCATTAACAATACTGTTGTTATCCAGCTCCTTTAATACTGTTTTATAGTATGTGTATCAATAAATCCAGGTGTAAAAACAAGACATTCACCTTTGGCTGATTTGTGTTCTTGTCTATTTCACAGGGCCTTAATAAAGTGATCACACTCCTTTCACTTTTGCACATTTTATCACACTAGTGCAAATTTTATGCAACTAACACATAACATGTATTTGTGAAGTGGAAATATATACATTTTCTAATTACAACCGAGAACCGAGCAATGCATTTGTAATCAAACTCCCCTTTCTCCAATAGCCCTAAAAAAATTAAATGCAAGAAAACTGAAAGTCAAAAGTTACCTGATTATATTAAATAGTTTTCCTGTGTCCAATTTAATCTTATAAAAACAGATCTGGTGTGAAGCCCTCAGAGGTTTGAACATGTCAGAGAAAAAGTTCAGATGTGTAAATCAGGCTAAGCATATTGCAATATTCAATCTTTGAGGATTTTATGGAGTGGTGTTTAATAAATCATCTGAAAACGGCATGGCTCGACCACAAACCTCCAAACCAAGACAAGCAGCCAAGAGGCCAATGGTAACTCTGGGGGAGCTGCAGAGGCTCACAAGTCAGAAAGGAGAACAGAACGACAGGGAAACCTATTAGTGACTCCAAACAAACAAAAAACACATGACTATGGTTCAAAAGGAATATAGAGCCAAAGAAACAATAAAATGCTGGAATTCTGCAGAGTTAAATCAACATTATGCCAAATCTATTTGGTCCTTTGAATTTCTGTCAATTTAACTCTTTCAGAGTTATTTCAACAAGAAATTGAGTAATTTTTAACAAATGAAATAGTTATAATAGTAAAACTATTGTTGAAATAACTGTAATGTTAAATTAATGCCAATACTAAAAAGGACCAAATAGACTTGGTATAGTGTTGATTTAACTGCAGAATTTGAGCGTGCATATTTATGTTTGATTTATTCGAAGTCTGAATCTGGAGGGAGATGTGAAAGTTTAATGTCAGTAAATCCATCTGATCTCATTGAACCTGAACTATTTTCAAATAGTTTTGAAAAATGTTGCGAAAAGCTGGTACAGACATACCAAAGACTTCCATCTTCAATTGCAAAATTGTCTGAAAAAGATCGGTTAAAAAACGCACGCCACACTTTTCAGATTAGCACGTAGTATAAAAATATCTACAGCGTCTCATTTTCCACTTGGGCTGCGCACTATACTTTGCATCAAGTAAAATCGGAAACAAATAAAAGCCGAAGTTGGTTTCGTAACAGTTCGAGCTCACGGTGAGCTGATGTCTCCAGACCCAAACGCGGTGAAAGTGGACACCGCTCCTATTTACTTTCCAAATTTATGTTCCTTCATCTCATTCAACAAGTGTGGCGTGAATTTATATGCCAGCGCCGCTCACAAGCTCCGGCCGCTCCATTGCAAGGTCTCTTTATCATTATAAACATCGTATTTCCATTAGAAAGCAGAACAAAGCCCGATAATTATGCTCGAGCTGCCCCCGGAAATCTCGCTTTCTCTCGCCTATATATTAGGATCCCTGGCTCTGTCGGGACGCCTTCCCCGGAAGCAAACAAAAAGACATGAATTGTTTGTTTTTGTTATTGTTTTTTTTTTTTTTTTTTAGTTGAACCTTGGTTTTGTTGAAGAAACATGTTCAAAACTACTGGGCAGACGGGCACAAAAATCCTCCTGGATGCGATGTCCAAGGATAAAGTCCACTTGGCCAGGTTTGTTCTGGACGCGCTGGATGGGGAAATCGTTGACTCCACAGCGGGCGGCGCACAGACGCCGCTCATCTCTTCCGTCCTGCTGCCCGACAGCCAGACCCGATGTAAGTTCATAGAGCTTCTGCTGCACAGAGGGGCCAGTGTCAACCATCAAGATGGGAACGGGCGCACAGCGCTCAGCTACGCCTGCGAGAAGGGCTACCTGGACGCGGTTAAGATCCTGGTCCAGAACGGCGCAGATCCAGAGATCCTGGACTCGTGGGGGAACACCCCGTTGATGTACGCGGCTGTAGCGGATCACACCTTAGTGGTCGGGTTCTTGGTGAGAGCCTTCAAGAGGTTAGGTCTGCGGATAGACAGGCAGAACAGAGCTGGCAACTCTGCAGTTGAAGTGGCAAAGTTCCTTGGTCACACAGAGTGCATTTCTGCACTTACCAATTTCTCTAAGAGGAGCCGTGAGGCTGATGAAGGCAAGTTTGAGGGGAAAGTTGATAGTTTAGCCAGTAAACTGGAAGTCCTCAAAACGAGTGGCCTTGCTGAAATGCCTGACAGTTCCACCTTGCGATCAATGGCTCAGATAAAGCCCAGGCGTTTGCCACCGATGGAGTTTGATAGAGAAAATAATAAATCTTCTCTGGGTCCACAGGACGTGATCTTCTCTGGAGCACGCACTCCTGTGCCCCGACCAGGGATTTACAATCAATCCATTTCTAAACCATGCACCTCCCAGGAAAAGATGCCCTCCTCTACTCATCACTTGCCCCCTCTCTTAAAGTCCCAGCCAAACAGAAACATGCCGCATCCCTGTGCGCCATCCACTCTTGGCATCTTACTGACTCCCATTCTTCCCAACAAATGTGAGGCTGAGAGGGGGAGGGAGAACTCTTTCCGCATGGGAAGATTTAACGAGTGCTACTATAGGAAAAGATCCAGTCTGCCAACCAGTATTCTTAGCCCCACACCTCCAGAGCGCACTCTGGTGCCCGTGCGTAAATCCAGGACGGTGAGGAGGCGCAAAGAGTCGATGAGCTTCACCGAGCCACCTCAGTTTGCCACAACAGCTGCTGCCTCGACTCCAACGACTTTCTCAGCATTGACTAATAAACTCTTCCGAAGATTTACCTCCCCGGAGTTTAAGAAAGTCGTTGAAGATCTGGAACAGAATCCGTTGCCGACTTTAGGCCGCATCCCGCGATCAGAAACCTTCCCTCAGGAGACGAGGCATCCGCAGGTGGACAGCACGCCCAGCATCGACAGCATCAGTTCCGTTAAGTGCGAGTTTGACTTTCAGTTCAGACAGACAAACTCTTAAGATTGCGCGCCATGTGCAAAAGCGGGGGGAGTTGGGGGGCTGCTACGTAATAAAGTTTTTTGGTAACTTACGCATTCATATTTAAGTGGCGAAAAAGTTTAAAAAATACTTTAGTGAAAATTGGTAACTTCTTTAGGGTGCTCAATAAATGTGTAAAAGTGATTAGTTATTAAGCGTCCATAGAGATACATTAGTTTCTAGGGTTTTTTTTTCTTCTTTGAATTCTGGCATAACAGTGGTTTCTTCGAGTCTCACGTGTTTTCATGTGAAGAACTGTGATGCATTACAGCGGAAATATGAGCGGCTGGTTGCTTGATGGAGATGGGAATACATCTATGATTTACATTTCTTCATCAAAACGCGCCGACCTCTACTTTTTAACAGAACTCACAGAAAAAAGGTGCAAAGTTGTCAGGATCCGATCAGTGGATTGATTGTCTCAGAGCAAATGTACGTATGGAAAATAGGTCGCTTCCGGTGTCCGAGATGGAACTGTGGTAAAGAGCTACAATAAAGATCTGATTTGTGTTCGCAGTTAGTACTGATACAATATAGTGTAGGCCTACTGTAATTTCAAGAAAACAGAAAGTAGTTTTAAGGCTTTAGTGTTGGGTTTTTGTATTGGGGGGAGGGCCCGGGGGGTTGGATGCAAGCCTAACCATCTGGTGTCAGCCCTCACCAACACACCGAGCTTCAACCTTGAGGGAGTGGAGGTTTTCAGTGGATGGAGGGAGGGAGGCAGGGAGAGAGGGGGAGTTGTCGGCGTTTCCCTGTAGACATGCATCATTTCAGCTGAACCTCCAGCTGCTATCGCAGAGATGGAGACTACAGCACTGCGGGAGGAGCTGCCGCCGCTGCCTCACAGGAGATAAGTTTCCGACTTCCAACGAACGAGGATCGTTATTTGTGGCCGGTGATACGCAGAGGTGGTTCGGACTTGCGGTTGTCAGCGGGTTGACACCTGTCCACCTTGAAGGAGTGAGGAGGTCGCTGCGGACAGATGGGACTCGTTGGTGCCGGATCTCGCAGCCAATCTCGGGGCACCTTTTGGTGCATTCACGATCATCTGAGCGTCACTTCTTGGCGCTAAGAAGAGACAGCCCTCCTCCCTCACTTTCTCTCCTTTTCCCCCTCTCTTTCTCACAGTCTCCCCTCCCTGTCCGCGTGTCTCTGTTCTTTTCGCGGGTTCAGCCCAGACTGCCCAGTCAGTCAGCCCCCCTTTTTTTTTTTTCCCCCAGCGCCGGGGAAGCTGGCAGCGATGGGGCGGCTCAGCTTCAGCACCAAGGAGAGCGCTGGACTTTTGCTGCTTTGTGTGTGTGGTAAGAGCGCGAGTGTGTTTCTGCGTGTCTGTCGGAATGTCGTGACTACTCTCTGCGGAGCGGAGACGTGCACGCGCATGCAACAACTGCATGTATGCGTGCCTCAGAAGGTGCATGTGTTCTTTCATCTTCATGAGTTGGCAATTTTTATCCCCCCACATCCCCCCCTTTTTTTTTGCTATTGTAAAGTGTTGCAAACTGATGTTTGAGCTGTTGCTTCCCTGATGCTGCAGGTTTGACTTTGAGTGTTTTGCAGATGTTGACTTCACCCCTCTCCTGATCTCTGATCAGTCCTTCTGTTTTCTGCTGATTCCGCATGTTTTCGTAGCCGCTCGTGTGTGTGTGTGCGTGTGTGTGTGCCAACCATTTACTGCCCGGCAGACACCAGGCGTGTTTCTGCTGTCATCAGGCGTGCTGGCGCTGCCCGCGGTGCTGGCGGAGCAGGAGGGGGAGAACCTGTCCGGGCTCTCGGACAACCCGGACAAAGCCATCTTCGCGGTGCGCGAGAACGGAACGACGTGCCTGATGGTGGAGTTCGCCGCCAAATTCCTCGTGCCATATGACGTGCTCGCGCTTAACGGGATAGACGTAAGGATTTCCCCTCGCGTGCATTTTGATTCTCATTTTAGCTTCTCCAAAATAAGAGAGGAAAAACGTGCACGCTGCATAAAAGTGATCACGATTCTTTTTTTTTTTTTCTGGATCAAGCTCTGAAAACTGGAGTAAATATTAGATATATTCAAATGCATCTTAATTCATGTGAAGATAAATTTGTGGACACATTTAAATTGCAACAATAAAAAGCAGTTTTTGCAGCAATCCATATATGCTGAACTAAAAAACGTTTCTTACACCGTTTAGTGATTATATACTAATTTGTGCAACTTGTCTTGATGTGATTTATTTATAGCTCATCACAGAACAGGCTTCTTTCACGCTGCCCCGGGGGGCAGAAATCGAGGGGAAATGTGGGAGCACCGACTCAGAGATCCACATTTCCTGGAAGAACAACGCCTACATCCTCCGCATTTACTTCTCAAAGGTACATCAAGGGCAAAACAGAAAATACACTGTGAAACTGAGTAGTTAACTTTTTTTATATGATTAAAGAGTAGAAAATGTTACTTTTTTTCTTTCCATAATTTCCTCTGAGTGCGCACGCATGTCAGGTCCCGGATGACGTGTTGACTCTGGCCTGTTTTTATCTAGGAGTTCCGCGAAAAGGGCATTGAGGTGTGGAAGATCAACAAAATCCAGTTCGTCTACGACACCTCGGAGACCACGCACTTCATCAACGCGTACAACCGTGAGTGTCCCTCACGCAGCGGCACCAGCAGCGGCTCCGCCGCCGGGGCCGCTGCTTGGCCCAGCTTGGCCGCGTTTGTTCTGGGGTCCGTCCGGTGGAGTGGAGGACGGACTCATGCGGAGATTTAGGAAGTCCTCACACATTTATTTGCATACCACTGGAAGGTTTTAGAACATGAAAACCTTTAATCAAAGCTTTTGAAAGTGAAACATACACCTTTACAATTTTTTTGTATCGATTTATATTTTGCAATTATATTTATTTCTTTAAGCATATTATTCACATTCATTGTTGCATTTATCAAAAATGTCTAACAGAAAAATCTAATTAATAATTGTAGTATAAAATATTTGATTTGAATCGTTTTGTTGTGTCGATAATACAACTGACTTTAAATTATTACAACTTTATTCCAAATTTCAACATTCTATTGAAACAAGAACTTTCAAAACTCGTCTCGGTGCCATTTGTTCCCTTTCATTAAAAAGTCCTTTGTCTCTCTCGGTCCATAGCTGGGAAGCACACAGCCAGCACCCACAAGCTCTCGGCCCTGGTGACCCCAGCGGGGCGTTCCTATGTGTGCACGGCTCAACAAACCGTCACCCTCATCTCGAGCGATCACCAGAAGGGCATCACGTTCTCCATGTACGACATCCAGATCCAGCCCTTTGACATCGCCTCGGACTTCATCTTCAGTGCACGTAACGACAGCTGAAGACATTCAGCAGCTTTTTGTTTGCTCGTGTTGTAGACAAACAACAGATGAGGACGGTAATGAGAAATCCTGGGGGGTGAGCTGTACGTCTCTTCTTAACGTCCAAATCTCAGGGGAGAGGCAGGTTATTGCTGCAGTATGGGGAGCATGTAGGGTGAAATGAGAAAAAGAGCAGGCTGGGGAAACACAAGAGACAATAGGCGCAGCGGGAGGACGACTGAAAGGAAAGAGGTTGAGGTCATTAGGACTTTATGGTATCTGTGCCCTGGATGCAGCTTTTAGGAACACTGTGTGCATTTCGTCATCCAATCACCTTGGAGGAATCATATGGCCTCAGCTGCAGTAAACTATACTGGGCTAAGCTTCACTGCCTTTCTCCTTGTGTGCTTTACAGCTGTCCACGGGGAGAAACACCTTCAACTTCAGACCCCTTATGCAAACCGTACTCTATTTTCATCAGAGGTTAAGTGTCCTCCTTACTCTGAACCACCTAGCAGTTCTTAAAAATGCACTGTGTAAAGGAGACAATGCATTATATTGCTGTAAAACAACCCCTAAGCTTTTTCCAACCACAGACTAATTTCATGCATTTAATTGGGACTTTATGTGACAGATCAACATAAAGGTTTTCAAATTCTTTTAAAAACAAAAAATCTGGTAACCTCCTAAACATTACAAGCATTAATCAGTGAAGCAGCCAAGAGGCTCATGGTAATTGAAGGAGGTACCGAGATCCTCGGCTAAAGGGTGAAGCCATGGATTATGTGTATTTCACTATGTACTAATTTACCCTCATCTTTCTCTTACAAAAATTAAAAGTCATTGGTTGTAACATGACAAAATACAGAAGTTGAAGTACTAGGAGTACTTTGGTCAATATAGCAGAGGTTAAGCATCCTTTAACTACCAAGTAACAGTTTGGTTCAACTAAAAGAGACTTGAATTCTCTGAATAATCTAAAGGGATACAATCTGCAATTCAGACTATTTGTTAGTAAATTCAGACTAATTTATTTCAACCCGTGAAAAAACACAGAAACCAAAACCTGACCCAACTCGAACCCTCACTCAGGAAATCCAAATAAGCTTTCATAGCACTAGTCTTCTCCAGATCTTGCCATCTCTACATTTTGATCCTGCGTTTTCCTCTCTTTGCAGCTTACAAGTGTATCACAGACCAGCGGGAGCACCTAGAGGAGATCCTCCCCCTTATCCTGGGCCTCATTCTTGGTCTAATAATTATCATCACGCTCACCATCTACCACTTCCACCTCAAGCTGACAGCGAATCAGCCACAGCTCCCAAGAGATCGCTCTATGTACAAGAACATGTAGTCACGTGACACATCAGCGTCGCCCTCGACTTCCTCCAAAGCTCTCCTAAGTCTCCTCAAAGTCCTGGGCCTGAGGATCGTGTCCCCCACACTGGACTGTGTCCCTGATTGGAAAAAGCGAATAGTCTGCACTGCCCGCTGGAGCTTCTGAACTGTTAAAAATTAAGAGTTATTTAGACAGTTTGGGACACAGCATGAGTGTAATTGGAGTAAACCCACCCAAATCTAGTTAAATTGGCCGATGGATCGTGCCATACGTAGTTTCAAATAAAGTAAATTGAATTTTCTGGATTTTTTTTTTTCCCAAAAAACCTTTACCGAAGATGGTTTGTAACTTGCACAATGTTTGATCTAACTTGTCTTTCAAAGCATTTCCTTGTTACCCTGTTCCCTCTTTCTCTGTTTGAATTTGCTGCTATTGGAATCCATCTGTATTTGTAATCCTTGTTCCTTTTTTTTTTGGTTCCCATCCCTGTGCTCATACATCCAGAATGCAGCCATAGTGTTGACAGTGGACTGTCTTGTAGTGTACAGTGCAGTTTTGCCTTGGCATCAGACCCTTTTCTCAGCACGGATAAACGAAAGAAAGATATATAAAATAAAAAAAAGTCAAGTACAAAACGTCTTCTAAAACTTGAGAAAAGTATTTATGAAAATGTGGAGAGGTAATAAAAATGTATGTATATTATTTTTAGAGTGAAAGTCTATGCATAAACTTCTGCTGATGCAATCATGTGCAGCACTCTATTCTGTTTGAAATAAATTGCTGGATAAACAATTACCAAATTATTCTATTTCAGCATTTATCACACTACACACTATTCAAACTGTCAGCTATTGCATAAAATATGTTTTAATTCAATGCAATGTTGTAAAAAAAAATTTATATATTTATATATTTCTTCCTTTACAGTTCTCTTTTGTAGTTTCACATTTTCAGACAAAGTTAGCTTGTTTAGTTACAGAAAGTTGCCTTTTCAACTAAGGGGGGAAAAGCAGTCCAAAACAATATCATTATATGTAAAAGGAAAAAAACTGACTATTTTTGAATTATGATTTGCGATAAGACTTTTTTTCGATTTACATTTTTGAATTTCAAATTCACTGCCAGACCTCCAGAATAAAAAAATAAAAAAATAAAAAATCTGATAAATAGAACCAGACAGACAACATTAAGCAGGCTGAAAGATACCATGATGTTCCCATCTGAGACACAAAGTCAATTACGTCCATCAGTCTATTAAAAGTTACGTAGCAACTAAGCTGTGGGATTACACCTGATCGTGGTGAAAGTCATTATAAAAACACAGGAGAAAACATGGAGCAGCTGTAAACCTTCCCAAGAATGACCAGAATCAAGATTACTCAAAACAATATCATCTAAAGCACAACAGCCTTCACTTCTTTAGTTAAGGTCAGCGTTTTCAACAAAGAGATTGTGTAAAAATGGCAACCACAGGAGAGTTCAAAAGGCCAAAACCACTGCTGACCCACTTCACATTTGCAAAATGACATCTTGAAGACAAAGTGAAACTTCCTATCAGTTGTGTGTGATGTTACACTTGGCATAAATCTGACATTTCAGAAAAATAACTTCCCTCCAGCAGCCAGACATGGTGGTGGTCGAGTGATATTTCAGTGCTTCTTTGCTGCCTATCAGATTGCGATCTTTGACACAACTAACTAATAAATAATACAGGTTAACTGGAATCGTTGACAGACGCATATATCAGAGAAGACACTGCCAGGATGAAGTATTGATTTTCCTCTTAATCTGTGTCTTGAGAGAAAACAGAAGCCAAGAAAAAAATCTAACTGAAAACATTTCATAAACCACATATCTCTAACAGCAACATAACCACCAAGCCCTTTACTAAAGTTTCTGACGCGTTGAATATTTGACTACTGGAAACACAAATTAAAAATAGCCATTTTTTTTCATAAGAGGTGTCTTCTCTGATCCTGACCTTATACAACACTTCATAATCAATACTCCACAGGAGGAGAACATTTTGTTTTTTGTCCCAGAACTACAAAGAGAAGAGAGAGAGAAACATTTTGTTTGTGCAGCTTGTCGTCAACATGTCTCCAAGGCAGGGCTTGTTTTTGTTTATGATGTAATGGTCAGAAATACCGACTGACTCCTTTTCTTCTTGTACATTCAGACCTGTCCTAATGAGAACCTCAGCACTGCTTTATCGAATAAAACGGCCAACGAAACTAAACATATTGCTATGGAAGCATTTAAAGCGACAGTAAACCCCCCGGTGCTCAGTAGCGCTGCTAAGCTAGGTCCTCAATAACGAGCACGGGCTGAGTTAACCCGTTTAATTCAGCCGCCACCTCCACCTGATAACGAAAGACATGTGTGCCTTTCTCATGCAGACCATAAGTTAGCAAAAAAAAAAAAAAAAAACATTTACTGAGAGCGATTTAGCTCACCTGCGGTCCAACGGGCGGGTTTCATCCATTAGCTTTAGCCTCCAACTGACGTTTAACCCGCTGTTAAACAAAGAAGACTGCGTCAATTACTGGATTAAAAAAAAGAAGAAGCTCATTAACAGAGACGAGAGCCTCACTTTCAGCTTTATTTACCTTGACAGCTGGCTTTCTTGACAAATACGTAAATCTTCACACTCAAAAGAACACTAAAGAAGCGGCAGAAACTGCATGTGAAACGGTTGTTGCTAAAAGAACATCGCTAAAATTCATTTTGGGTGTTTCCCGTCGGACTCGCTCACAAGAGCTTCGCAGGTGACGTCTAATTAGCGTGACGTCGTTCCACTTCCGGGTCGGATAACCAATTAAGTCTTTACTGGGAATTGTGAAGCGATACAGTGGCTCTCTACCGTCATTCTTTGTACAATTGCTCAAGGTTAGAGTGGACAGACATCATGTATGAGCCTCAGTTTGAATATTTATGACTAAAGTTCCTGGTTGCATTTTTCATTTTTAATGCATGTGCATGCTTTGATCTATTGTATCTTTGGCTGTGTGTTCTGGAAAGTTGTAGAGGTAAACCTTGCCCCAGTCTCAAGCCTTTAGGACCCTTTTATGGTTTATTATCTCTCCATTATTGCCCTGGATTTACCTCCATCGGTCTTCACATCGACCTCAACCAGCTTCCTTTGACCTGGTGAAGAAAAGCTTTCCCACAGCCTGCTGCTGCCATGACCATGTTTTAGAGAGGTGATGATGTCTCAAGGTAGATTCTCCTCCGCTAAGTGTTTTGCTTGAGGGCCAAAAAGTTTTCTTGTGGTTCCGTGTGACCAAATCACCTTAACTTTCCTCTTGCTGCTCCTCCGTTCAAGTAGTTCTTCTGTTAAATTCACCCCCGAGAAATACAAATCTCTGCAGCTCTTCCAGAGTGACGGTCTTTGCCCAGTCTGTCAGCTTGGGTTTTTAATTGTAATTCTTTGATTAATTTTAGATATATGCTTATGAGTAAGTTCCATGCATTACTATTTTAATATGTAAATTGTTGGGCTAAAAGTTGTGTTTTAATTAAGTTTGTTTGTGGATTTATGACTTATTTTTTAATTAAACGTTTTTGGTTGATTTCCATCAGTTCTAAATTATGAATCATTTCTTTTTACTCTAACATACAGAGCTCCCTGAAAAGGAAAACAATTCACTCTTTTGATTGATTGATTGATTGATTGATTGATTGATTGATTGATTGATTGATTGATTGATTGATTGATTGGGAGAGTATTGATGGTTTGTGAATATTTTGCATAATCCCATCTAGATTTATCCTAATTACACATTTAAACATGTTTAACAACATTCATAAAGGTTCGCTGTGGCCACCCTCATTCACGTACAGAGAGCCTGAGCTCAGGCTCTCTGAAAGAGAGGCTCCATTCTTTGTCTGAACTGAATCAATATCCCATTACTGTGTATCAGTGGGAAATGGCTTATAGGAAAGAAAGACCAAAAACATAATATATTATAGCAACACCAATCCATGGACGTGTCGCTTTGCTTCTCTCCTAAGCGGGCAAGTTGGGGTGGAGTCGTTTGAAATGAGAACTTTTGAATTTAGAGAACATGAAAGACTTAAACAAAGAAAAACAAAAAAAGAAAGAAAGAAAAGAAAAGATGATGACTGAACAAAGCTCCCCTGGAGCAAACCGACAGTGTGCTGATAAACGACAACAAAAATCATCTCTGACTGATATGAGACACCGAGAGAGAAGTACGGTAGATCGGAAAAGGCGATGGAAGAAAAATCCATGCAACACAACTTGATGTTTTTTTTTTGTTTTTATGTGCGTTTCTTTTTTTTTCTTTTTTTTTTCTTTTTTAATTGAAACCAGCTTCACTGAAAACAAACATGCAATATCACTGTACAAGCCAAAACCACAAATAAGTGTATACTCATTCAGATGTTGACCCGGTGTCAAGGATTAGCGGGCGCACAACACGCAGGCACACGCTGCTTTCAGATGCCGTACAGAGACATGTATGCTCCGAACTCTTTTGTTCTCTGACAAACACAGACTCACGCTCACAGTCATATGTACATATCACAGTGACTGATGGGTAAAGAGGACGTGGGAAGGAGGATTACACTGTTGCTCTGGTTCGACTGGAGATGAGAATGGCAGCATGGTTCCAGTGACGACAAGAGACGGGAGGTGGGATGAGGATGCGAGTGGAAAATAAGACCCTTTTTTTTTCTTTTTGTCAGCATCCTGATCTCTGTGTGCTGGCAAGCTAACTTGAAGTAGATAAGGAAAAATTTAAAAAGGCAAGAAATATTCTTTTTTTTTTTTTTTTTTGCAAAATCCACACAATCTGTGCTACATCGAAATGCATGGTGTTACAGTGTCATAAAAGCTGGGCTTGATGGTTTTACAAATAGGTTTGGGGTATTGCTTAGATCACATGACAACTGATATCACTGTTTTGCTCGAGTGCATTAAGAATCGTGGAGAAAACATAAATAAAAAAAAAAAAACAGAAAAAAAAGAAAAAAAAGGCCACACTACAAATAAAAAATATCACCCCAAATCCAATAAATAAATAAATAAATACTTCAAAATGTCATAGAAAATTCTGACATTACCCTTTTTTTTCAAACATTTAATGGAAGTTCTGTCTACAAATGTTGAGATCATAAATATATTAAGTACTTTTAGTAACAGTTAGGTTTAGCTGGATTTATTCGGAATATCTCTTATATCTTTAAGCAAAAACTGGATTATAAACAGTAGGAAAGATCTCTGCAGAAATTCTATTTAATACTGCTCATATCACAATAGTTACGACACGAGAAAATACTGCAAATTATCAAAACTGTACAGAAAATGTTACAGGTTTCTCTAAAATACATTTTCGCATTTTGATGTGTGTGTGTGTGTGAGAAGAGAGAGGGATGGATGCGAGTGACCTTGTCGGCGCTAGCCTCGGCTGCTAGGACGCAGCCTGTCCCTCTCAAATTGATGGACCGATGGCAGACAAAAGCCTCTCTCGTCACACTGATTGTTTGGCCCTCTGCTGCTCTGCTGTGGAGCAGCGGGGGTCACGTAGGTCCTTCTGCCTCGCCAGCAACTCAGCACACCCTTCAGAAGCTGTGGAAGGCTGATGGCTACTATGAGTCTACGTGCAGCTGGAGACTCTTGAGTCTAGGAAGAAAGAAGAGTGCAGCGTCGCAAACTGGCTCAATAGAACGTTCCGATAGCTCCTTCTTCTTCTTTTTCTTCTTTTCTGTGTGCATGTGTTTTTTAAACATACTTCTTAAATATTCCTCACGCTAATCTACGTTTACGGTTACAGGTGTTAGTGGCGGGCCATCACGCAGTAGGTTGTTTTGACTGGGTGAGGGCGGTGCCACCCTTAAGGGGGTGAGTAAGCATGTGTTGTTGGTTTTTTTGTTGTTTTTTTTTTTTTTAAGTGTGGAAGAGGACGCGATTAGGCCAGGAGATCAACGATGGCGGTAGTGTCTCATGAGGGGGACGATGCAGGACGGCGGTCCGGACAATTTGAGGAATGGGTGCTGGATGAGCTCCTGGGCAGTGGCTCTCTGCGACGGCTCCCTCACCAGCATCATGTCCAGGAAGGACCGCAGCACCGACGACACCTGCAGGATGCAACACACTTGTGTTTATTCTTAGCGTTTTGATTTACTGCACAGTAAACTGCAGTACGCGAATTACGGTTTTCAAAAGTTAGAAACACGAGAGAACGTTCAGTGACTAGAAAAAGAGCAGCTTAGATTTGTTTCAGCGCAAAAATTTTGAGCTCAGCAAGTAGGGAACCCACAAGAGAGCCAAAGAAACCGTCATTCAATTTAGATGAAGTTCTAGTTTTGATCACTTACCTAACAACTAGGGCTGCAATTGCAACAACGATATCCGATACGACCACCTTTTCCACTGAACTCACCTACTTTTACTTCGTCTCAAAGCCTCCACCAGTTTACAAAAACTTTTAAATGTTCTTTTATAAGTATTCTATCTTCACAATTACACATTTTCAAAGCCTTTCTGCCAAAAGCATTGCTAAATGTGGCCAAAAGTCATTCTACACCAATTAGCATGTTGTTTTTTTTTATCTTGTCACAGCTTGCATTAAACTCTTTAGTGTGAGATATTGCTACAATACTTTGGTTGATATGCTAAGCACATTTAAAGTCTGTTAGACTGCTGAAAAGATTTATAAATGCAGTTAAATAACTCCATTGTGCACTGATTGGCATAATTTTGTGTCACTTTCCATTTTCTCCTAATCCCTTTCACATTGATTACCATTACCATACTTCGTCTACCGTTATTCCCGCTTTCGTTGAGTCTGAGTCAAACTCTGCTGACCCAATTGCTAAATGTTGCAGAATAAAACTGGAAACAAAACAAACAACCGGCGAACTTATAACCACGTGCTTCCATCTTTTCTTGAATAGTCCTGCCCTGTTTCTTTCCGTACCTTGTGGGATTCCTTGAGCCGTGGGGGAAGGTTGTCTCGTATCCTCCTCATGGCTTGCAGAGGGGGCTCGTTAAAGTAGGGAGGTTCGCCGTCCACCATCTCGATCACCATAATGCCTAAAGACCAGATGTCCACCTTGACACCCAAAGAAACCAATATGTTATGACTCACAAAACCCTCTCACAAAACAGCCACCTCTGTAAGAATACGGTAACATGTTCTGACCTCAGTCCCGTAAGGTATTCTTGAGATGACCTCCGGCGCCATCCAGTAGGGAGTGCCCACAAGAGATTTCCTCTTCGGCACCTCTTTGGAAACTTGGGCACAAAAGCCAAAGTCTGACAGCTTGATCTGCAACACACACACACACCCACACGCACACACACAGATGCAGATATGCCACCAGGACATGTAGTGGGAAATATATTAGATGAGAATTAACCTGACCCTGTGTTATGAAGAGCTTTGAGAGAAGACACTAATCTCTCCTATCAGCAGTTAATTATGCCTCAGTTAATCATGTCTTATCAAGTAGTTAGGAGGCATTATGTAGGATTTAATTACTCGGGCACGAGTTCTAATTGATGAATGAGTGAGTTTCTCGCACTGCCTGCATACAAGTGAAGAACAGCACCCACGAAGCAGGTCAGAGTGCATTAATGTCAATAAGTGGCAAAAGCCTGGAGTACCTTTAAGGACAAACTGCTTGATTGCCTAAAAAGATCTCGTGAACTGCACTTACCCTGCCGTCGCTGGTCAGCAGGATGGAGTCGCTCTTTATATCTCGGTGAATGACGCCCTGCGTGTGCAGGTAGGACAGAGCTCTGAGCACCGACAGACACACCGTCGCAATCTGCTCCTCGTTCATCCTGCAGGAAGCAAAACGCAGCTGTATGGCGCGGGTCGGTAACCAGACCACAGAGGTAAAGGAAAAAAGCCACGCATTCAACCCTGCAGCAGTTTTATGTCATACTTCTGCAGATTTCAGCACTTTGAATCAGATGCCAAGTGATTCAGTTGACAAAGCTACTATGTATATCTCTGTTAAGCAGGTGACAGAGGGCTGGCTACTACCTAAACTGTGCTAATGTCATCTTATCATACCTTTATGTATTCCACAGACAGCAGAACATTTCATCAAGTCATTTTTTTGTTGTGTGGTGTTGGACAGCTATAATTGGTCAGGCATTTGAAGTGGGCATGCTGCATACACAGACGCTGAAAAATGGTCATGGTTTGAGTTTGAATGAACTTGGTCTTGCCATCTTGAGTAACAAATAACTTCCACACTTCTTGCAGAGGCACTAACTTTATTGATCAATACAGCTAATCTGAAATCTGCCAAGGAAATTTTTTTTTTTCTGACTCAAAGTAATATTAATGTTTTTTTTGTTTTGAGAAATTAATCTATTGCTATAAAATCAATGAATATTTTACATTGGTCACTGAGAAAGGTATCAAGCATTTTTGACATAATATGAATATTATGGCTATTATCTTTTTTGAGAAATGCCAGATTTTCCAAAAGAAGCGTCTTTGTTGAATAAAAATAATCTGCCATGGGCTGAGGTTATACATCTTCTCTTGAGAACAAAACCCTGTAAATGTAATTTTGGGCATAACTGTGTGAAATATCAGGCTGCATATAATGTTGCCTTGTAGGAAAAAGGTCCTAGATTTGAATCCAGGCTTCGTTTTGTTCTGCATATAGTTAGCAAAACAGCAACTCCACAACAATTTTCTTGTATTTTACTCAAGTCAAACCATACATTGCTTAATCCATGACAAGAAATGACACTTTTTAGAACAAAGCAAACATTTTATCCATTCTTTTGATTAGTGACTAACAGAACACATCTTCAAACTTGAAAGTCTTCTTTTTAAAGCCCTATAAAAACCGAACGTTAGCCGAACAAAGAGATGCAGTTTAGAGACGCAGTTTGTCAAACATCCCCCTG